GTGGCGGTGGATGAGGGGAGCAGTAGCATGGTATAGTTCCTGCCTGCCTGCCTGCCTGCCTGGCAGCCTGGCAGCCTACCTGGCAGCCTACCTGCCTGGCTGCCTTGCCTGGTGGGTCTACATTAGCACCACTCCCACAGGCTACTCTCATGGGCTGCTGCCTGGCACCCGGGTGCTGTGGTCATGTGCTAATCTTCAGCACCAGGAGAGTGCATTATAGATATGCGCCATCTGCTGTGTTATGTGCTGCTGCTGTGTTATGCAGCACTCACACGTGTCACCCTCGAGTGTCAGGTGCAGGCGTCTGTGACGTGACACTTGTCATGCACTTGAATATTGTGTTAGTCAAATGCTTCTGGCATACGTCTGTGGCAGTGATTTTATGCAGTGATATTATGCATGTCAAAACGGTGTTGTAATATTTGGATAACAAGAATGCGAGTGTCATATCCTGGTACCTGTTTTATGTGTCGGCGTCATGTGTCATGCGTTTATGACACACGCCAATTACATGTGCTAGTGGCATGAGCATAGACGTTACACAGAGAACTGTCCTCATTACCACAGTATTAGTGTCATATACAATTGTCATGTTAGCTCACGTGTTATGTTTGAGTGATATGTATCCAGCTCGTGAGCCTCCCCAAACGTCGTACTAAAGTGCCCTTATCCTAACCTACCAGAGGGGAGCCATGGACAGAAAACGGGACAATATGTCAATTTCGCGAGCCGCTACCATCTCCTAGCACGACAGTTAATGGCTTTAAGTGTACGTCTAAATGCGACGAGCTGTTAGGAGGACGTCGTATCACGTGGTATTTCAGTGTCAAGTGTCATTGTCAAGTGTATTGACATTGAAGAGTGTAATGAGTGTGAGTATTTCGGGTCCTCCTGGTGTGGTGTTTGGACTCCTTGAGGTCTTCCAAGATCTTGCGTTTAAGGGACTATGTACTCGAGTCCGTGTATGTAAACAGCGAGTGTCATGGTTCGCAAATAATTCCAAGAGCAGATTCGTTTCCCAAATGACACGAATGTAATTCAGTTTTACAAAACCTTATATAAAACATTAAATATTTCGCTGGACACGAATGAAAATTGAGTGCCACAAAACTGGTGATATCAAACAAGAATGTTTGTTGTATTATTGCAAACATGGGGTGGGGGGATGGGGGGGGTTATCTGGCCCTCTGGAGAAGACAGTCCAAGTGAATGTCTGTATTGCTTTCATGTCTGCGACGTTTTTTCAATTAGTGATAAACGTATTTAAAGCTATTTACTAGATAAAGCTTTGAACTCGTGGCCTCGTAATTTGTCGCTGAAAAAATATTATATATGTTACCAAGCGAGCGCCTCGCGACGCTGGGTTACGTGTTCGAGTCACATCCAGAATGGGAATATATTTCATGGAGTTTGCTGTGATGAAAGTAGTGAGGCGGGTCAGCCGGTGAACGTGATTGTCTGGCGTTCACCTGACGTTCACTGGCGGTTGCCTGACCTTCATCTAGCATCTGATGTTCACCTAGCGTTAACCTGACGTTCGTTTGCCTTTATTCTTCGTGCGGAAGGTGAGGTGAGGTGAAGGAGCCTGTCCTTCATCTGGCATCTTTAGGCGTTCACCTATCGTTCACCTGACGTTCACTGGCGGTTACCTGACATTCACCTGGCATTTGCATGCTTGCTATAGACGTTCACTTGACGTTCATTTGGTCAACTTGACGTTTATCTGACCTTTTTGGGGTATTTGTTTCTGGGTTAACTGCATTAATTCGCTGCCGGAAACGTCATAGATGACGCAAGACGTCGATGACATGCATTTTGTCGTTTATCTGACGCTGATAGCATTATTTGGGTTTACAAGGCACTTACGCTATTCACTTTGGGTTTACCTAGTACCGACGGACACGTACGCGTCGTTCTCGAGCGCGACGTACCGTTGCCGTTAACGCCATATAATGCCCCTTACCGTTGTTTCCTGCCAGGTGTGTGTGGCTCAGGGAGGCGTGATGCGTGTGAAAGTTTTCCTGTTGTGTAGTGTGGCGGTGGTGGTGGTGGGGTGGCTGGCTTAGGTCACCTCCTGACCTATCCTGACCTCCTGCTCTTCTCTCTGTCTCTCTCTCTGTCTCCCTCTCTGTCTCCCTCTCTGTCTCCCTCTCTCTCTCTCTCTCTCTCTCTCTCTCTCTCTCTCTCTCTCTCTCTCTCTCTCTCTCTCTCTCTCTCTCTCTCTCTCTCTCTCTCTCTCTCTCTCTCTCTCTCTCTCATTCTCTCTCTCTCACAGATCTGTTAACCCCCATCACCTTTGCCCGCTAACAGACGCATCAATCTATTTTTCCCCCTTATTAGCATAATATAAATAGCAAGGTTTCAGGCCTTCATTACATTGCATCCTGCAAGAAAAGTACAATTGCAAGTAATTATTTTAATACATTAAATGCCCTTCAACACCGTAATATCGCTTCTGAGAGTAACAAGTTCAGATTAGTATAGGAGATACCATCAAATATCTTTGAGCAGTATTGCCAGAATTCTCATAATATGGCTGTGTGAGGCTTCAGCGACCACTGGTTCTCACATACAGCCTAGTGAGAATTCCTTCAGGAGTTCTGTGCACCTCCTTCGTAGGATCCCTGGAATGTTGTTGTTTTAGATTTAGCTACTCAGAACGAAATGTCCATGTAGCACGGGCTATGGTGAGCCCGTAGAGCCCTGGAAGTTCTGTGTCCCGCGCTCATTGCGCGGTAATACCAGCTCGGTCAGGTCCTGTGCGTTCGCGGCTACTTGCGTTCTCTGATATTTGCGTTGGTCGGGGGAAGGCATCGATAGTGTGTGGGAGAGACATCGATAGTGTGAGGTAGAGACACCCATAGTGTGTGGGAGAGGCACCCATAGTGTGTGGGAGAGGCACCCACAGTGTGTGTGTGGGGAGAGGCACCCACAGTGTGTGTGTGTGGGAGAGGCACCCATAGTGTGTGGGAGAGACACCCATAGTGTGTGGGAGAGGCACCCATAGTGTGTGGGAGAGGCACCCATAGTGTGTGTGTGGAGAGGCACCCACAGTGTGTGTGTGTGGGAGAGGCACCCATAGTGTGAGGTAGAGGCACCCATAGTGTGTGTGGGAGAGGCACCCACAGTGTGTGGGAGAGGCACCCATAGTGTGAGGTAGAGACACCCATAGTGTGTGGGAGAGGCACCCATAGTGTGTGGGAGAGGCACCCACAGTGTGTGTGTGGGGAGAGACACCCACAGTGTGTGTGTGTGGGAGAGGCACCCATAGTGTGTGGGAGAGACACCCATAGTGTGTGGGAGAGGCACCCATAGTGTGTGGGAGAGGCACCCATAGTGTGTGGGAGAGGCACCCACAGTGTGTGTGTGGGGAGAGGCACCCACAGTGTGTGGGAAAGACACCCATAGTGTGTGTGGGAGAGAGAGTATGGGGGCGAGAACACATCTCTGCCGGAAGTCTTGATGGGGCCTTCAGGCTATGACCGGAGGGTAAAGACATTATTTTTATTCTTGGGTGCTATTCTTGGGTGCTATTCTTGGGTGCTATTCTTGGGTGCTATTCTTGGGTGCTATTCTTGGGTGCTATTCTTGGGTGCTATTCTTGGGTGCTATTCTTGGGAAAATGCTTCTGTCTGTTTTTGTTTGTTTCCATACTGCTATAGCAGGGTTGACATACTGTCAATAATTATCTGTATTTGTATGGCAATACTATCTATTTAATTATGTATATCTCTGAGTATGTCTGTACCTCTCGCCTACTGAATGGTTCGTTAGAAAGATATTACATTTATTTTATGGATACAATTCATTTTATAAGAAGAATTGTTATTCGAAGAATAACGTGCAGAGTGTTCTCAAATCAAAGACAAACTCAAGGCGTGTATTTTGCTTAGGAAAATGCAAGAATGGGATGAATACATGAACTGTAATATAATGTATTGTATTATTGTTGTGTATCAAGTGTGTTGACTGCGTGTACAGGACGGTACAGGGGTTGAATGACGAGTTGAAATATTAGTACCTGATTGAAATGATACCTGTGAGATTTCTGTTAGCCAGGGGTAGGGGTTGGTGGGCCCGTGGTGGGTTGTGGGTCCCGGGGTGGGTTGGTGGGCCCGTGGTGGGTTGTGGGGCCCGGGGTGGGATGGAGGGGGCAGGGGTGGGTTGGTGGGCTAGGTGTACCAGACATAGGTGTGTTGTATTAACCAGAGTAGAGTGGGTAGGCTGGTGAGTGGGTGGGCTGGTGAGTGGGTGGGCTGGTGAGTGGGTGGGCTGGTGAGTGGGTGGGCTGGCGAGTGGGCGTGTGTATTTACTACTCATGCCAGCAGGATTGAGCTGTTAGCTCCTGGACCCCGCCTTTCTAGCCGTCTAATGTACTGACGTCCTGACCATCTTTATAATATCTACTACGTATATTTCATTCTCTCACACTCGCGTCCCCAGGATGCAGCCCCATGATATACCTATTTGCTGCTAGGAGAACAGCGGCATCAGGCGGAAGAAACTGCCAATTTATTTATATTTTTCCCAGAAAATGACTGCTAATCCCGAACACTGTCTGCTCGGCCTCGAGGACCGTGTGTACGTGAGTGTGTAATTATGTATTAATAATTCCTGGATTAATAATTAATAATGTATTAATAATCTCCCTCCCCTTCCGTATCCCCGTCCCTTTCCTTCCGTATCCCCGTCCCTTTCCTTCCGTATCCCCGTCCCTTTCCGTAAGAACAATAGTACTAGATTCATACAATCTTGTCTTTTACCCTCGTCCCTTCTTTCTCGTCCCCCTCGTCCGTCGCGTCCCTCCGAGCCATGGCGGCTCACCTTGGAAACATCTCAGAAAACCTCAAATGACAACAAAATCCAACCCCATTATAAGATATATAACGAGATTGGGTTATCTTATCGGAGCGGGAGAAACTTGGCTTCATGGTAGGAGTAGTGGGCGTCGTGCACCACCTGTTTTCTCTCTCGTCACGGTGAGCGGTGCCCGGCGCCAGTTGGTCAGGCGCTGGGCACGGGTGAGGAAGGCGGACGCTACTGCGCCAGGCACTCGCAGTCCGAGCGTCAGATGTTGTCCTCCTGTGTGGCAGCGTTCGCGTGATCGCTGCGTCTAGTCATCCACACCTGGATATACCCACACCTGGATGACTAGGTGTCATCCAGGTGTGTTAGAACGCACAGGATGGACACACAGTGCGTTTTTATTGTGATTTTTGGTCTTGTGGCAAGTGAGGCGTATAGCCATTAGATGGGGTTGAAGTGTTTTGTGCTGTAATGGTGAAACATTAATACACCCAATCAGTGTTTTGTATGATTTATTGAAGATACAGCGATGCGCGTTGTATAACCAGTACACCGTCGTTGTAGTAGAAAATACACTGCTCGCGGAGGATAGTGCGATTCACAGTGCCGTGAAGCCAGATTGAACCAAGATTCGCCATTACGTGATCAGCATGTTATAGTTACGTGTGAGTGGGGGGACATGCGATCCGTTTTCTGTTGTAGTGTAGACTTGTCATAGTGTCTTTACCAGAGATCCTAAGGAAACTTGTCGCTATCCCCCCCTCCCCCACCACGTTCTTGTTTGCCGGGAATCGAACCCGGGTCCGTGGACTGTGATTCCCGACAGAACAAGGTCTTATGCTTTAAGTAATGTTAGAATATCTTTATACAATGCAGTTCTATTCAATATCAAGTAACTTGGTAAATAAATTTCACATTATTAAGAAATATCTTGTTATATAAATATTTTGAAATATACCTTCATATCACGGATTTTTTTCACAAATCTCAAGCAGAGTTTACAATGTAAAGCCTCAAAATAATACGGGGACAAGAAGACAACAGGTCTACAGAAAGGTATATAATTAATGACATGTATTCATAAACAATACAACAGCCTTGATAGGTGTAGTATGAGTGTCATAGTGTAGTACTTACCTAGTGTAGCGGGGTAGTGGTTGGGAAGGTGGCGCTCAACGTCTCGGGCCGGTGTTTTGTGTGTGTACTCACCTATTTGTGCTTGCGGGGGTTGAACTCTGGCTCTTTGGTCCCGCCTCTCAACCGTCAATCAACTGGTGTACAGGTTCCCGAGTCTATTGGGCTTTATCATATCTACACTTGAAACTGTGAGGGGTGTGTGTGTGTATATGTTTCAAGTGCGTAACCTAATGCAGCGGATCAGAAAATGTGCAAGAGTTACGCATTATGAAGAAATGTGTTCATTGTTTTGCTTGGAAAATGTAACGAGCGTTTTTTTTTTCAGAAATCCATTAATAAAAGTACAAACAAATGGTGACAATGTGGATATTAGCTATAAGTGAGAACACGGAAAATGAGAAACATAAAAACTTGTAGTTTAAATTTTTTTGAAGGTATAACATCAAATAATGACAAAACGGATCCCAAATATCTAATCCACAAAGGGAAGCAGGAGTGTGCTGGAGGAGCTGGAGATGCGCTCTGGTAATAGCAGATCTCACATCAAGCTGTACACTCGGTGTCCTTCTTACAGTCATGTATTCCCCATCAGCTGTTGGTATGTCTCTGGAGGCTGTTCCTCCCTCGGCCTCTCCCGTCTTTCGAGATGGAAAGTTTTTATTTCAGTGCAATACTGAGGAAGCTCCGGACTTCAGTCCCGTGAAAGACATCAAAAGTTTCAGGGAGGTTTTCAGGCCACAGAGAAGCACGTCATCTCCCAGGGGGAAGTATCTCAGGAGCGCTACACACCTTGACGAACACAAACACTCCCTGAAGGCTGTGTCGAGGTTCATGATGCGCAAGAACCAGACGTGGCTGAGTCTGGAGGATCTGACACTCGGAGAACACAAAAACATGTCTTCAAGTACCGTGTTTGGTGCTGCCCCTTCAGGCGGCGGCCCCATTCCCTTAGGTCTGCCCAGGGCTTCAGGTGTTCTCAAGTGCCCATGGTCCGGGACAATACCCGATAATGTATCGGCTACAATCACCCGGGGCTGCTCACTGGAGGCTCTAGACAATCTGTCCAAAATGGCCGGTACCCAATCCGCAGTGTCGGAATCGTTGGAGAACTTATCCGCGGCACCAATTACCGTTGAAGGCGGGAACAGCTGGTCTTCACTGTCACAGTCAAACTCGACGTCATCAGAAACTTTAACACCATCCCTGGATACAACTTTAAGTCCAGGAGCGTCGATAGAGATGCTAACTTCTCCCTTAACATCAAGTTCTTCAGATCTACACTCTGTCAGTTCCTCACCGTCGTTCACAATGTGTCGAGGGGACTCTGTCGATGGACTTTTCATCCCTTCGCCTCAAAATTCTTTTCCTCCTTCGGAGCCTTTGGAAATCCTCTCCTCACCCGCCATTTCACAGCAGAGTCCTTTCCGCCGTCAGCTGTTCACCTCATTAATAACACGGCAGTCTGCTTTGGTAGCACGAATCAGTCAACAGTCTTGCCAGCTCTTGAAGACCGTGAGGGCCGTGACATCCATGGACTTTTCAGACCCAGAGGCTGAGTTTCAAGCTTCCTCTTCCCCAGTTCATGGCAGTAGAGAATCGATTCCTCGAGGGCACGTCAGCCAAGCCTCATCCCTATGCTCCGGAACGAGTGAGGAGACCTCTGGAGACTTTCCTGAACTCTTTGAGAGACAGAATGAGCGAGTAATGTCCGTGTGTGACTCTGGACTTGGGTGGGACACGGATGACGAGCTGATATCGTTGTCCAGAGGTTCCTCCTTCGCCGAGGACATCGACGACATCGCAGAGGAGGACTTAGGTAAGGTGCTTATGTTAACTCTTGGGGATGACTGCAAATCATGCTCTTTTTTGTTCTAGCTTAAGTTGTATGGAATATAGGACATTGATGAATTTTTATGAACTTTTTTCTCTAGTGTATTTTCCCTGTTTCCCCAAGAAACTTGCCGATAAGAATTGTTACTTTTTAATTTCAAGAAACTGTTGTATTGAAAATAATTAAAATAGATTTACCCCTTCTTCCTTAGCTCAACGGAAAACTCTATAATACTCAGGAATTTTGACCAGTTTACACACCTTAAACTTTTGGGAATTCTATGTAATTTGCCGCAACATGATCAAAAGAACAATCTTTTGATCATGTAGTGGCATAATCGTCTCGATCGTCTCCAGCGTGCATCTGGGAATACCCAACGAATAGGTTCGAATCCTCATCACGGCTCCTGTGGATTTTTTCAATAATAATAGTAGTAATAATAATAATAATAATAATAATAATAATAATAATAATGCCCTCCATACTATTATTGGTGGTGAGAGAGTGCATGTACTCACGACCCGGCACGATATATATATATATATATATATATATATATATATATATATATATATATATATATATATATATATATATATATATATGTGTGTGTGTGTGTGTGTAATATATCTGGAACAGGAGATATCTAAATGGCTTACATTGTATAATGCGATATATCTTTTATAAGCGTCCATTCTCATGTAATGGTGATGTGAATATTGAGTTATGTATATTGATATCTGGGAGGCAGATAACGCCGTACCCATATCATTGACTAGCATTATCTATTAAGAGTTAAACGAGAGGTATTTCAACTTGCTTGTCAACATGTCACTGTACTAATTACAGTGATATCGTGTCACCTGGTGATTGTACTCACCTAGTTGTACTCACCTAGTTGTGCTTGCGGGGGTTGAGCTCTGGCTCTTTGGTCCCGCCTCTCAACCGTGGGAATGGTCCGAGTGTGTGTGTGAGTGTGAGTGTGAGTGTGTGAGTGTGAGTGTGTGAGTGTGTTTACTAGTTGTGTTGTGTTTTTTGCGGGGGTTGAGCTTTTGCTCTTTCGGCCCGCCTCTCAACTGTCAATCAACTGTTTACTAACTACTTTTTTTTTTCCCACACCACACACACACCCCAGGAAGCAGCCCGTGACAGCTGACTAACTCCGTGACAGCTGACTAACTCCCAGGTACCTATTTACTGCTAGGTAACAGGGGCACTTAGGGTGAAAGAAACTTTGCCCATTTGTTTCTGCCTCGTGCGGGAATCGAACCCGCGCCACAGAATTACGAGTCCTGCGCGCTATCCAAAAGGCTACGAGGCCCCAGTGAGTGTGAGTGTGAGTGTGTGAGTGTGAGTGTGTGAGTGAGAGTGTGTGTGAGTGTGAGTGTGTGTGAGTGTGAGTGTGTGAGTGTGAGTGTGTGAGTGTGAGTGTGTGAGTGTGAGTGTGTGAGTGTGAGTGTGTGAGTGTGTGAGTGTGAGTGTGAGTGTGTGTGAGTGTGAGTGTGTGTGTGTGAGTGTGAGTGTGAGTGTGTGAGTGTGAGTGTGTGAGTGTGAGTGTGTGAGTGTGAGTGTGTGAGTGTGAGTGTGTGAGTGTGAGTGTGTGAGTGTGTGTGAGTGTGAGTGTGTGAGTGTGAGTGTGTGAGTGTGAGTGTGTGAGTGTGAGTGTGTGAGTGTGTGAGTGTGAGTGTGTGAGTGTGAGTGTGTGAGTGTGAGTGTGTGAGTGTGAGTGTGTGAGTGTGAGTGTGTGAGTGTGAGTGTGTGAGTGTGAGTGTGAGTGTGAGTGTGTGAGTGTGTGAGTGTGAGTGTGAGTGTGGGTGTGTGAGTGTGGGTGTGTGTGTGTGGGTGTGTGTGTGTGTGTGTGTGTGTGTGTGTGTGTGTGTGTGTGTGTGTGTGTGTGTGTGTGTGTGTGTGTGTGTGCTCTGAGACCATTCTTGGACAGGTGAAAGGATATTTGTTAATGTAATTAGCCGTAGTTATGTAAAATGTTTTGACGGCTACGGGGTAAATTCAATGCAATTCTTTGCTTTCCCGATTATCAAAATTATATTTAGTACAATCATTGTTGTTTGCTAGGTTCATAATTTGTTTGCATTTGTTTATGAATGTTAACTTGCCTGAATGTACTTTCTTGGTCAAAGAAAGATTGTTTCGTAATAGCTCTTCTGAACAGTTAGACGCCCTGAGAAATATAGCGGAGGAATACATTATGGACGAAACATATGGTAAGCAACGTTCAAACTCGTGTACAAATCATCACCTACGAGGGTTACCTAGAGATGCTCTAGTTAACGATGTTCCGCTGTTGTTAAACATCCTCCGAGTATAAGAAATATTGCCGGAACAACCGTGAACATCTTCAAGAGAAAACTAGATAGTTTTCTTCAATAAGTGCCGGACCAACCGGGCTGTGGTGGATATGTGGTCCTGCGGGCCGCTCCAAGCAACAGACTGTTGGACCAAGCTCCCACAAGTCAAGTCTGGCCTCAGGTCGGGCTTGGGGAGTAGAAGAACCCCAGAACCCCATCAAGCAGGTATCAAGCAGGTATCAAACAGATGGTTCTGAGGATCAATATCCTCGTGGATGGTGGTCTAATCAGTCAGGTTTCAGACGCGGCTGCTCGCAGTCTGGCGTACGAGTCACAGCCTGGTTGATCTGGTATCCTTTTGAAGGTGTTCATCAAGTTTCCTCCTTTTGAACACCGTATAGAGGGAATGTTGTCTTGGGTTCGATATATCGAACAGTTATCGTGATATAAGGCAGCGCCAGATATGCAGGTGAGGAAGTGTGATAACAAGGTGATTAGAGACAGTCGGCTATCATCTCCTTCAGGAGTGTGATGCTGAAGGTCGCTTGAGGTCGTCTGATGTAGTCTCGTACAAATGTACTTGCTGGGTCGAGCGTTAGCTCCAGAGCTCCGTCTCTCATCCTCTTTGTTGGATACTGGTATTGTCTCGGCACGCAGCGATTTGCTTATTTAAATTGTAATATGTTTCACGCTTGTTTCAGGTACTGCCACTAATGTGCCGTTATATGTAGTGTGTGTGTGTGTGTGTGTAATTACCTAAGTGTAATTACCTAAGTGTAGTTACAGGATGAGAGCTACGCTCGTAGTGTCCCGTCTTCCCAGCACTCTTTGTCATATAACGCTTTGAAACTACTGACGGTCTTGGCCTCCACCACCTTCTCACCTAACTTGTTCCAACCGTCTACCACTCTGTTTGCGAAAGTGAATTTTCTTATATTTCTTCGGCATCTGTGTTTAGCTAGTTTAAATCTATGACCTCTTGTTCTTAAAGTTCCAGGTCTCAGGAAATCTTCCCTATCGATTTTATCAATTCCTGTTACTATTTTGTATGTAGTGATCATATCACTTCTTTTTCTTCTGTCTTCTAGTTTTGGTATATTTAATGCCTCTAACCTCTCCTCGTAGCTCTTGCCCTTCAGTTCTGGGAGCCACTTAGTAGCATGTCTTTGCACCTTTTCCAGTTTGTTGATGTGCTTCTTAAGATATGGGCACCACACAACCGCTGCATATTCTAGCTTTGGCCTAACAAAAGTCGTGAACAGTTTCTTTAGTATATCGCCATCCATGTATTTAAAAGCAATTCTGAAGTTAGAAAGGGTGGCATGGGCTCCTCGCACAATATTCTTTATGTGGTCCTCAGGTGATAGTTTTCTATCTTGAACCACCCCTAGATCTCTTTCTTTATCAGAATTCTTTAAAGATTTCTCACATAATATATAGGTTGTGTGGAGTCTATGTTCTCCTATTCCACATTCCATAACATGGCATTTATTAACATTAAATTCCATTTGCCAAGTGGTGCTCCATATACTTATTTTGTCCAGGTCATCTTGAAGGGCATGACAATCATCTAAGTTTCTTATCCTTCCTATTATCTTAGCATCATCAGCAAACATGTTCATATAATTCTGTATACCAACTGGTAGATCATTTATGTAGACAATAAACATCACTGGTGCAAGAACTGAACCCTGTGGTACTCCACTTGTGACATTTCTCCAGTCGATACATTGCCTCTGATCACTGCCCTCAATTTTCTATCAGTCAGAAAATTTTTCATCCATGTTAGAAGCTTACCTGTCACCCCTCCAATATTTTCCAGTTTCCAGAACAACATCTTATGTGGAACTCTGTCGAAAGCCTTTTTTTTTAGGTCCAAATAGATGCAGTCAACCCAACCATCTCTTTCCTGTAATATCTCTGTTGCTCGATCATAGAAACTGAGTAAATTCGATACACAGGATTTGTGTGTGTGTGTGTGTGTTTTCGAGTGCGCGTATATCCGTCACGGGGTCGTGGTTGTAGATGACGTACCAATACAATACACAACCAGAGGTGGTACCATATATATATATATATATATATATATATATATATATATATATATATATATATATATATATATATATATATATATATATATATATAATGTTTGCGATGAACATAATGACGATGGTGGATGTCATATGATGATGTCTGGAGAATAAACCTCTGCCTCGCATAATTTAGTTCGTTTACCTAACGCAAGAAAACAGTACCGGTTTGATTTATGGCGGGTCATTGCGGGAGCGAGCGAGCCAGCCTCCCTGTGCTTGAGGCTGGATGTACGCAGCAGGAGACGAGAAGAGAAGGGAACATGACTTAGCAGGAAGGCCCTCCTCTGGCTGGGGAACTGACCCACCCTGCTTGCTTGCTGCTTACCTGCCTGCTGCTTGCCTGCCTGCCTGCTTGCTTGCAACCCCCCACCGCTAATATTAGCTCAGTACTGGTCCGGTGGAACGCATCTTCGTGATTGGTCTTTTTTGGGTTTGTTTTGGCAGTGAAAAGACCTTGGAGTTAAGAGTTAAGCTCTTTCACTGCTGTCATGCAGGTCGACTCTCATGTTAGTCCCCAGTATTAACACGCGAGTGAATACAAGCATTATTCTCACTCTAATTAGACCTGATTGAGTTACTCGGA